CCACCCATCAGGGGTTTGTGGGTTTAACTTAAATGTAAATGTGTGTCGTTAAAGCCGCCACCACCCGACACAGCCAATTAGTAAAGGTTTGTCACGTAATCAAAACGTGCCAATTCGTTACTAGTACAGCACACCGGTGTGTTGGAGAGTAACCCCAATTGTAAATGTTGTGCATTTACTCTCCAATACAAGTAACGAATTGGCATGTTTTGTTTACGTGACAAACCTTACTTATTGTCTGTGTCCAGTGGTGGGGGGTTTTACGACGCATTTATATTTTCGAAATCTAACCCACAAACCTCTATTATGAATAATATTGGTAGCGAAAGCCTACGTGCTAAACTAAATATTCCACTCGCGTGGGTTTTTGCGGCTGTGTTTAAAAAGCCCTCCCGATGCATTTGTGCGTTCAACGGCGTGCTCCTCGGAATGGTTGCACAGCGTTTCCAAGCCACGTGCCAGGAGCTTTTTCGGTAACTGAATGTCTAAATTCATCGTAAATGTAAATAAGCCGCTCGCAATTGTGGGCTTCTAGAGAAGACACAGGCTTTCTGCTTACTAGGTCGTCGAATTTCAGCCGCTAATTTTAAGTTTACTGCCGTGGTTTGCCGTTGGCATTTAGAACTCTTTAAATGTACGCAGGACAATAAATGCTCAATATAATTTCATAGACTGTTGGGGCAAGTGCTGTTATTGAGCACCTACAAAGGCGTGAACGGAACACAAGGCAGTTTGTATTGGAAGCATCATGCCCAGTTGATTTGTTTTCCCAGTGCTAATGTTTTGCAACTGCATTGGTGATCATGTAACGATGCTCGAGTTCACCAGAAGATGTTCGCCGTGGCTGGGAATCGAACCCATGTTGCTGGCTTTGTTACCTCGCCACTGTGCCGCCACTCCACGATTTTAATTTTGCAATTTGCACGCACCAAAATCACAAGTGGCATGCGTGGCGACATGTCAGTAGTGTATTCGCAAATTTTAAAATAAATGTTCATAACGATCGCACCCCATGCCCGCCTACTCACACCCCACTCCCCTAAATAATTTGTTAAATGTGCCCAACGGTGCTAAACATTGGAAAAATCACGGATTACGGCTCACTTGAGCTGGGCCAACTGATTGGGGTCAAGAGGGGCGATCATTTTGAAGGGATTTCAGCAGCGTTTAAGACAGTTCTGCAAATGAACTGTAGCATACGCCTCAGCTGCTGACTGCACTCTATCGACAGTTCCGCAAAGATCAATGGCAATGCATAACTGGGCATCTGTTAGTAGGGTAAACGTGTCTACAGCAAATCTGGTGGATTTTGAACGCTGGTAGTGGATTATGAATCGTCATGCCAGCAATACGTTATTACAATATTGTATTTATGAAGAATGGAAAGGCTTTTTTTTTAATCCGCTGTCGGATCAAGACTTTCACTCCACATCGATTCATGATCATTGTTTAACCATACTTCACCGCGTTGGTCAGTTCTGGTTGCTGAAGGAGAGGGGGCTCAGGACCAGTTCAAACATTGCTCTCCACTCGTTAGCCGTGGCCGTGAATCGGACTCCGTTCGCTGGGTTCAGGGGTTCTTCACCTTTAATGGTTCCCAATCGTAATTTTTGTTTATCAATGTTAATAAATACATATGTTTGGCGAAACAAAGTAGTTGTACTTACGTGCCCGTGCATAGTTTGTGTTTTCGATTATTTACCTTCGAAAGAAATCTGGCCATGTCGCGCACGCCCAGGGGGCGATGTGTACCCCAAGTTCAGAACCGCCGGCAGAGTTCATAGCACGGTACGCGAACCACTCTGCCGCAACTCCATCACAATAATAATGATGTCCACGTACCTGGGAAAAGTATCGCTGAATCTCAAATACAGTACTTTTTTTTGTAAGGGTCCTTCATTTGGATGTTTTGATAATTCTGCCAATGAGCGGAATGTAGGAGAAAATCGGGAGTGCTCGAGACTTAAAGGTCTGCACAGATGGGTTTTATGAACCTACTTGCAATTTTGCCATCGTTTGGTCACACCACAGCCCGGCAGTTTTGAGAGTTTCACAAATCGACGTTACCCACCAACCATTTCCTCCAATGTGCTGGGATCGTGGCCAAAGTGCTGAATCAACGTATGTGTACGCATGTGAAGTTCGCGTTATGATATTAAAGCAACTAAATCAAAGTTTAATGGAACTTGCAAAAACATGGTATGTCACGTCATTTCTTGGTTAAAAGCGTGCTGTTCTGATGTTGGAGATCGTTTCGCGAATTGCATAAGAGGGTATTTGTTTACGTTTCTATCTCCAGGCGAGGCTCACAGCAATTCCCACGGACGATTCACCCTGGCAGTGACCTGGGACGTCACTCTGGGCCCTTCAAACTGCCCTTCGTCCGGAGGCGACCGAGCAGCCAATCGCACCAACGTGACCATAGGGTTTACCCCGTATTCTTGTACAGTGAAATTGAGTTTTCAGGTCCATACGGCGTACAGCCGTTTAAATATGGGCGAAGTTAGCACGGGGAAGGGGAGAATGGTTAAGGCTTTAAGGACGATGACGGAAAGTAGTCGAGAGATACGCTATTGAAAAAGCTGAGTCTTAAGGGATGAACTAAAAATGGTTAGCAAAGCGCCAAGCCAGCTAAGTAGGATCCAGCAGCTCAAATATTGCACCCCCCCCCCCCCCGTCTTATCTTTCACACACAAGGCAAAGCCAGGTTTCAGTGTACATGGGAGTTGGCTGGTTTAGGCTTCTTCAATGACAGCCACTGAAATACTACAAATCATGAAATCAGGGTTTCATTTCAGCCAGAGCTGTTCATGACTGAGCACTAGAAACAAATCTCCTAGGTCTGAGGTAGGAAGGACCTGGGACTTATTTAATGAGAAATTAAACCATGCATGAAAGTGTTGTTTTGCATTAAGATGAGTCCAGCACAGCTGCACAGGAATTATATTATGTAGAAGAGAAATATTTGTTGCATTACAAATAATGCCGTGTAGATAGTGGGGGGATATATGGTCATACTTCACCATTATGGTCAGTGTTAGTTCGTGATGTGGGGTGGGCCTCAGGACCGACTCAAACATGACTCGCCAATGACGTGAGCCACGGTTGAGATCCAAACTCGGGCTCGAAGTACCACTGCATCAACCCCCCTCCCCCCCACATACAACATATATACCCCGCAAAACATTTATTATGTACAATGAACTTGTTTCACACCATACGTAGCCAACCCTGCTCATCGGAGGGGTGCATCAGACAATGCGTATATCATGAGCTGAAGAATAAATATGAATCCGTAATTAAATGAATCCTTCCACCCTGAATAGTTATTGGAATATTGGCGACTGTGTGAGACCAACCGGTGGTGAAATGCCAACGAATGGACGAACAACAACAGAGGTGCAACCGAGAGCGTACGGAACGATGGAATCAAGGTGCACGTGAGCCAAATCGCAACCACACAATGTTCTAGGTAATGACATTGATAAGGGGGTAGAGTGGTAGACCTTCATTTAGCCTGATGATGATGATGGTTATTGCCATTAATGGCCGTAAAAAAACTAAAATGATAACGTTACACAGCAGCATTTTTTTATTCCATGTTAACAAGAGTTTTTGTCTAGGAAGAAGCAAAAAAAACAGAAATGGCCCAGATTTTGGTCGCATTTGTTTGTGCTTGTGGGTTTCGAAATAATTTCCCAGAAGAACGTAAAGGGGCTATAATAAATGGGGATCCCTCTATACCCCCACACGTTCCTTTGTGCTTGACAGCAGACATATTTCAAGTGGGTGTCGTTCTGCTCTCTTCTAACTCGCCTCAGGTCGCTGTGTCCACGGTGCTGCATGAGGTATAGTTTGTTTTTAGCGAATTTGTATTGCCGATATACCGCGTAATTTACTTGAATTGTAAAAGGTTTCATTAGCCATTGCATGTGGTCATTAATAAACGTTCAACCCAGCATTTTCCTCTCCCCTCCGTCATTTGGGAGTTGGGCTTCCTGAAGCCCTCACACTTTATTAATACGAATGTACTTAGGTGTGCCGGAAAGCCACACCGAGTCGTACCACTTGCATTCTAAAGATCCCGTATTTGTTTAGGTTTTCCTGCCGATCAATTACGAGTTGGAGGATGAGTGTAAGGAAACCGAAGCGCCCGCAGAAAACCCACGGCTCGCGCGAAGGAAGGGTGGCAACGCTCTATCCCCGTACAGATTTGAAACAGATGGAGGGATGAGTCCACTCGCTACACTGCCCCCTACTAGCAACACAGGGCACGGTACCTGCCTCGCAGCTGTGCACGCTGCATTTGCTTTATCACACTGGTAGCAATCAAGTGAAGTGTACAGGCGGTGGATTTGCTCCAGGGGCTACAGGCCGATATGGGACCCAAGGAGCCAGGCTTCAATGTATGTCGTGTTACAAAACCAACACGTTACACCAGGCTAGGAAGAGGGCTGGAAGATGGGGGGGGGGGGGGGGGGGCAGTCATTGGCAAGGGGCAGAGCACTGCCGGCTTTAGGCGTGGGCAATGCGGCCATTTCCCGAGGGTGGTTTGGGTTGTGTCTATGGTTTCATGAGGGTGTAACTTTAGTTAGTTAGGGGATAGCGTTAGAGAGGTTTAGGGTTAGTCAGGGTTAGTCAGGTCTGGGGTTAGGGCTCGTCAGGATTAGGGTTCGTCAGAGTGAAGGTTAGTTGGGGTTCGGCAACGTCAAGTGCACATGGCGTGCTCACACGGCAACGAGACGCCTGGGAAATAAGACGGGGACCATCACGCGGCGCCCCCCGTTAAAAGCGTTCCCTCGATGTGAGCAGTGCAAGTCAGACAACCGGCTACATTCGGAATGAATAGCCTTGGTCTACGTCGTTGGGAGACGCGATGAGGGCGGCGAGGGAGCCCGGGCCACCACCCCTACGTGTCATTCCTAGAGCCAAGGCCCATGCCAGCCATGCTAAGACTTCTGGCTGTCCACCCCCATGAATCTCAACATTTAAGCGGAAAAAAAGGTTCCTTTTTGTCAAACTTTTATTGAAACGATATCCCCACGCCGACCTATTGCTAGCAAACAGCAACACATGTAAAACATTGCATATGAAATATTATGTTCAATTGTACTGTGTGAGTTGTCTTTCTTAGTTTGTTGTCCTTTCCCGCACCTCCAATTGACACGGCTGGCTACGTACAGTGCGAAAGAGGTTGAACATACACGTCTGTGCCGTACCACTCGCATTCATCTCTGGATAAGCACGTGCTGAGACCGAATATATCTTAATTATCTGTATGACCAGAGGCATTGAAACGTTGTTTTGGTTTAAAATGCCCACAATGTTAAAGTTAAAACATCTTACGTTATTCTTTTGAATAGCTTATCGTGCAAAGAAATTAGGACCGCAAACGTTTTTTTCAATGTTAGAACACCGATCAGTTCCTATTATGGCCTACTTAAAAAAAACACACAAAAAACTGAAAGATTGTGCTCCCATCTGCTGGCAGGACAGAGTATAATGGAGTGCTGTATATAGAATTATTACTCTTTGGTTCTTTCGGTAAAGTCACGTAGGTATAAAATAAAATTAATCACGACGTTTCAAACGCAACACAAGCGTCCGTCATCAGGTGGGAAAGCCCGAAACGCCGTGATTTATTTTATTTTATACCCACTTGGTGACTTTACCGAAAGAACCAAAGAGTATGGATTCCTGCAGTCACGAAAGCTTCAAATCAATATAGAATTATTATTATTCGCAAGGCGAAAGATTTAAAGTATACCCATTTCGTGGACTATGTACAATAGCAACATCTGCTTGAGCCCTTCTGCTTTCGTCTCTCCGTGCTTTCTTGAGCAGGTGAGCCAGGCTACTGACCTGTGGGTAAAATGGAATACAACGAGAACGTCAGCCATCAGACAAACATACGGCGGCATTTGCAACGATCTCAAGCCGGTGTCTCTCCGAATGCAGGGCACGCGTTGTGCCTCCCAAGGAGGTTGTTTTTATTTGCGAGCACGTTGCATTCTGGCTTCCAAGAAAAGAACAACAAATGACCGACAATTCATCCAAATTGTGTTCATTGCTTTCCACAGTCACGCAGGTGACTTCCGAAACGTATTTGTACAAGTGTTAGCATTTACCTGACCCTCCCAGCTCCCTGCAAAGCAGCTCTCTCTCTCACATACAAATTTGCATGCGGTTTAAACATGGGTGGAGTTTTTGGGGGGCGGGGGGGGGGCAGCACTTATTAATTTATTTTCAGTCGTTTACAATGAAGATGAAAAATAAATACATTTTGTGCACCCGCGATTCCTAATGGGAGGGACAAAGCGAACCGTTACCTCCCAAATACAGAAGTCAAACTCCGCCTGTGGTTTTAAACAATATTACAAAAAGGCACCTTGAGCATATGACTCTCTTTAAACAGGTCCCTGCAGGGTGGGCTGGTAGAAGTTCGCAAATGAGATAATGTGACTTCCAAATGTAGGGTGCAATAAGACATATCAAGTCTCTGCGCTGTCTATTGCTTATTTTACACCCAACAGCACGAGATATCACTTCGTTAAAGTATTGAAAGGGGACGGACGGACACATTAATCTATTGCAGGCTGGTACACTCAGTTTACAACTTCGTTCCTACCAGTATAAAGGTTCATTGTGGCTCATTAAGAACACGAGTGTTTTTAATTATTGGGTGGAAGTATTGTGACAGGTGGTGTGTCTACGTTTTTACGGTATACAGGAGGAAACGTTTCTCTCCAAAAATCTTATTGATCTTTGGAGACTGAAACTTAAAAGTGAGGTGTTTGCGATATTGCATTGTTACGGAGTTTTGAAATCACATTTTTTTGGTTTGAACAAGTGCAAAATATTTAAACCGAATAGGATGGATACAAATGTAGGCCTTCCAAAAAAAATGTCCTGTGTGTAAAGATAATAATTTGAATTCAATAAATGCATTTAGGATCACGATTAAAGCAATGCTCAGATTGTAGCAGATGCTGCAGTGGTTGTAATGGTTAGCAGCACACCGGGGCTTGCAATCCAGATGTCCTCGGTTCAATTACTCGGCTCAGCAGTTGAAACGATGGGGCAAAGTTCCTTAAATCTTCCCTGCCTCTGTCCGCCCAGTAGTGTAAATGGGTACATCGGTCAGTCCATTAGCAGGTCCCGTGTGGTGGGGTAAAGTGCGAGAACTCCCACCTCTTCCCAGACGTTTGCCCAGCATGGCAGCGTCGGCCAAACAAACCTATCGAGCACCCTCTTTGTGTCGAGGCATCCACCAGAGGACACTCTCGAGCACCCTCTCTGTGTAGAGGCTTCCACCAGAGGGCACTCTCGAGCACCCTCTCTGTGTAGAGGCTTCCACCAGTAATGGCATGAGCAAGAATTTGTAGGGCTGCCCCATTAGGTTTTCCCCTTTTTTTTTCCTCTTTAAAGTTCAGGTACTGCTTAACCCTTTCACGTACGATCCCGTTCTGGAATCAGAAGAACATTTAACAAGGCCATGCGGGAGGGCACATGGCACAGTTTGGCACCGGCTATTATAGAAGTTATCTGCGGTGAGTACGTCTTTAAAAACAACGGCGCTATGCCTCTCCAAATAAAATTAACGCTGAACCGCTTGCAGGTTCCGGACATTCAGCGGTGAACGAGACACCCCACCCCCTGCATCTTGCAGACGTCTCGGAGCGGAAAAAGGATTACTGCGTGGGGAAAGCAAGTGAAAATGCATTGGAGCAAAAAACCCACCTGCTGCATCCACGTTCGTACCAGGCCGCCCCCACCCCCCCGTCGCATAGCCTCTCTGGGCTCAGCCTTGCCACTGTCTTGCAGGATGTCCGGCCGCGGGGGCAGGAGGCGGAGGGTGAGGGTACTGCCCATAGTTGGCATTGGGGGGAATGTAGTAGGCGGGCTGGTGGGGATAGAGAGTCTGGTTCCCTGGGAACACCTCTCCGTTATGAGGCTCTTGGACTGCACACAGGGAACAAGAAAGCGGTTGCGTCGTTGTGCAAATCTGCAGCACGTCGATTCATTACTCACAAACTATTAAACTGAGAATAAAAAAACAGAGCAACATCACCCCCTGCTGGCGAGCTTTGCTAGTCTTAAGGCAGGCGCTGCGTACACCTTGTGTCTAACAGAGACAGCTGCCACTGGGGATTCCAGTGAATAGTCTGCAGCAGGGCAATGAAATAGTTGAGATGACGTGTGATGCAAGGCGCTTCAAGTTGTTGAGCCATTTCAATGCAATACAGTAAATACAAATCCTTATCCTCACGTTTTGCTTCAACTAGGCATGTTAAAATTCTGGTGGTGGCGGCTATGCAATTTCTGTAATCCGGCACTGTGGAGGCGAGGATTGGTGGACCTCCCCATGAGCGTCTAGATGCCATGCTCTGCCTCGCTAAGAGAAGGCAGTACAGCAAATATGGACTCCACCTGATTTAAAACTTTCGTGACTGCAGGAATTCATATTCTTTGGTTATTTTAGTAAAGTCACGTAGATAGAAAATAATAATAAAAATTAAAAATGTAAAAAAAACAAAGAATATGGACTCCACCTGTTCCAGCTGTACGGGATAGTGTTGCCCTGTCGCGCAGGTGGAATGTTTCCTCCCACACGTACTCATTAATTGGTCAATAACATCTTAATATATAGAGGACAGCAGAGCTTGGGGAGGAATTTGGCACTGGCTCACCACCTGGCTACTGTTCTTCACACCTTTTAGTTGTTCTCTTCAAGGGCGGGTAAATACTTGTGCCCTTTGCAAGTTGAAAATAGTATTCAGTCTAAACCGTAGACTTTCACGACCAATATCATCCGCAATATAGGTTTTTTTGGGTTAGATATAAGTTTTCGTTAAACCCACCACCACCCGACACAGCCAATTAGTAAAGGTTTGTCACGTAAACAGAACATGCCAATTCGTTACTAGTACAGCACACCGGTGTGTTGGAGAGCAAATCCACAACATTTTGTTCGTGTTAAAAACACAAGGTTCAAAAATTCATCCATTTTTTAAATCATTAAATTGTCTAAGGTAAATCAAAAGTAAATAGTTATTTTGTCGGTGAGCGATCTCTTTATATTGAATATTTTTCAAGTCGACGTGATCCCAACCTCCAGCCATGCAGGAGGCGGGGAGGATGATGCAATGTTCCCATGACCACTCGGATGAAAACTGATCTAGTGTACGGAACCTGGCAAGCGTGTCTGGCGCGCGATTCACAATGTGAAGTTACCAGTCCTAGCAGACGAATAATGTTTTTTCGGGCTTGCGTGGTCCCCTAAACGAATGGAGCTGCACGGTTCAACACGGGCTGCCCTCAGAACCAGTTGTGAGGTCACAAGGTTAGTACAGAAGGGACACCCAGTCAATGGTATCTCTCGCTAAGGTCAACTTCAAGACTGTGTTTTTTTCATTAACAAAAAATGTAGATGGAAGAAAGTGACAAACGGAATAGATTATTGCCTGGGATCGTGTAAGCTAACCCCAGAATGCATTAGAAAATATAACAATGGCACGAGGGGGTAGGTGGGATGCAGGGGGAGGGACCAATCCCAAGGAGGTGCACGGCTTTTATAATTAAATACAAACATGGCAAATATGTACACGTACAATAGGTGATTGCTAAGACTATCATAATTGAATCCAAGCATATGTTAAAGATTAATTCATAATAGTTTTTTTTACATTAACCTCTAAGTACCACTTCCTGCCACTCCCTGCTCCATTATGGATGCACATTGATTGGGTCACCTCCCCACCCCCTTCCTTTTAAGGTCCAATACTGGAAAATTGGTCACGAAAGCCTCCGTGTTAAATTTATGTTAAACCGTATTTAAATAAATACATCGAGTGGGAGGGGGTTTTGAGTGATGGAGCCGGACAAGCCATAGGGCAGCAGTCCATCGGGCAAATTCTCGGTGGGCCGGTCAATTTCCAGGGCCGGTGGGCTGTGGGCAAATTGCAAATGTGATCAGAGTAAAAAATATATATACTTGTTTTTTGTTTAAAATATTTCACTGCCTCTAATGTGTACGCTTCATTGCTTTTTTACGCTCTCAGTTGGCATCGAGTCCCAGATTCGGCAGCCCCAGAGACTCCCCGGCGGCCCATCTGTTTTTTGGACCAGCCCAAATGGGTCAGTGAGATCGCGCGGCAAAAACCACGCCACTAAGTGACATCGAAAATCTAGCTACGAGAGTACAGTTTGTCTCACAACCCATTTAAACATTTTAATAAATGATTTCCCATAGCCCGAATTTGGGCCGGTTTGTTTAAAAATGCCTGGCCCGATTTTTTTGTCCCAGTCTTCAGTCTTGTCACTGGGAGGAACCCAATCCACAGAGCCACGCAGCTTTTGAAGCTGTGGGACAATACGGCTCGCGCTTGCCCTCCATTGGTCATGCAGCACGAGGCTCGCAGTTCATCAACGGTGGGAGGAGGAGCGGGAGATGAACCCGGGCCGGCAAGCGTCTCGTGAACCATTCCTGGGCTTGAAGAAATTCTGGTTCCCCTATGGTCACGGAAGAAGATGCATCGGAGGGGGGGGGGGGTGGTCTTACTGTGCACGTGTGTGTAGGATTGCTGCCGGTGGCGGTAATAGTAGCAACAAGAGCAGCAGCGGCAGCAGATGAGGACCACCAGCAACAGCAACAGGACTCCGACTCCCCCCATGATGCCCATGAACATGTTCGGTCTTGGGAGAAGAAATAAAAGTGAAGGCGATGAGCAATGAGGTGCTGCTCATCTCGTGTTTATTGGCACTCGTGAACATTCCACATTCCTATGGCGGGGGGGGGGCGAGTCTTTACGTTTGACAACCAGCGTTGACTTACCCACAAAATTATGTTTATTGTATCATTTCTGGACGATGGACTGAGTAACTCACCCCCCCCCCCCCCCCCCTTACAGAATGTGAACTCGTAACCTTCCGACTGCAAGCCGCTCGCTCTATCACCGAGCCACCTGGTGGAGGAATATTAACATCACTGTGGGTTAATGAGAGGGTTGTTTCTAGAATTTGCCCAATGTGAGCCACGTCTGTGTCACTACTCCTTTCCTTGTGTTTCAACAAATAAACTGCAGGACACACGTTATCCAGCTCGCAATCCCCACTCGGTGTGGGCTGCGAGCGAACCTCCGCCACCTTCTCTAAAACTCAGGTGTGCACTGCGTTTGGGACGTGTGTCCGCCGAGTTTCTATACCTCCTCCCTACGTAGCGATTTATGCTCTGTACTGGGTTCCGATTGAAATACGATTTTTAAAAAATGTGTTTTTAAATACAGGGGCCGTCCATAAATGACGTCACGCACCTAGGGGGCGGGGGAGGGGGGGGGTCAGACATTTGTGACGATGAGTGACGAGGGGGGGGGTGGGGGTTTGAGAAATGTGACGTCACATCAAAATGCGCAACTTTAAATATAGACAACACGTTCTACTTAATTAAATAGACTTTTTAATAAACGTTTTCTCCTACAACATCAGAGTGCAGCGCCACATTAAATACGCACTACAATGACAATAGTTTAAAGCGATTTGAAGCATTTTAAACTTTTTGGGGAGGGCAGAGCTTTATGACGTCATATTTGAGGGGGGGGGTCTGACTTTTTGTGACGAGGCGGAGGGGGGGGGTCAAAAATCGTCCAAAATCGCGTGACGTCATTTATGGACGGCCCCATAGGACGTCGCATGTTATCTGACTGTCACACATCCACCCTGTCCAATTAACTGCCCCCCACCCAGTTCATTATTTGTGTAGTTGTGGCTGTCAGTATGTGGTTGGGGAGCGATAGTCTAGGGGGTTAGCGTACTACGCTACGAACTCGGCAGACCCGAGTTCGATTCCCGCTCACGGCCAACAACGGTGACAAATATACTGAACCGGTCCTGGTGGATATGGGCTTCTCCAAGGTCGACTCAACCTCAAATGAGTACCTAGTGCGGTGTGTAAACATCGCCACTAGAGAAACAAAGGCGGACGGGCATGGTGCTGGCCACCCACCCTCTCTCGTGTGCTGTGCCGTCCTTCATAGGTGCTTGCTAACAGCGCTTGCCCCAACAGTCTGTTAAGGCTGTATAAGGGATCTTTGTCATTGGATGTTCACAATTTCAACCTATGCACAATCAGTAATGTTATTTTTAACTTTTCATAAATTTGCTTGGTAAAGCATTGAAGCAGTCTGCTCTTTTACTTTTATCAAGTCAGCTTATTTATGCACGGTGTAACTGTAATTTTCAATAGATGTTCACATATCGGGCCTTTCGACATATTCGCATATCGGTCAAGTCCCCCAATGAGTTGGATTTGGCACAATGTGCTGCATATCAAAATCTTAAAACTCAACCCAAAATAAAATAAGTCAAAATATGCATGAATTATTTGTCATTTGTAACGTTTTGGTAATGACCCTTCTTTATATGTTCCGTAGAAGGCTCACTTATATTGTAAAATGTGTTGCGTTTTTGTTATTTGTGCTGAAGCACAATTTCAAACGCAGTATCACAAAAAAATAGTAAAGTGCCATCGGCAACATTATTGGTTAATGCTGCGTTGTGTATACAACGGCACAAACTGTCAAGAAGTTGTATTGCGATCTCACGTACAGCGCTAACAAACCTCATGTGGAACATGTTGCAGATCTGCTGATGAAAGTCACTGATGCGCAGGCTGTTAGAGATGCAGCAGTAGACACCATTGCAGTCACCGCAGCAGAAGGTTGGCCAGATGCACGGAATCTCAGGGATGTAAAACCCACTCTCCGTCTGATGAGCCAGGCAGTTGCCATCCCCCCAGGCCACACCTGTCAGGAACATTCCAGGTTCTTAGTGTAATTGCAAAAAAAACATTGAGAGACGCATGCCTGGAATTAAAGAGGCAGAAAGCAGAAACTATGGATTAGAGAACGTACGTTGGTTAACAAAATCATTATATCTATTGAGACAGGTAAGCGGGCTTGAGCAGGACACGTCGCTGGAAGGAACGATGGATAAGAATAATAACGGCAGCAGCAGAAGAATGGAACGTGTCCAAGGGTATGTCCACCGTGCAGATCGAGCGATGAGATCGGTTGATGTGCAGGTGCCGCACTGCGGGATCGTGAGAAGTGGAGGCGGCATGGGGAGGCCTTCATCCAGCAGTGGATTGATAATGGCTGATTATGAATGTCGTTGCAGAATGTTTAGCCTTCGTAAGAGGATAGTATATGACCAAATGTACAAACTTACAAAGTAACAAGCAATTGAATTTAATTCCTTATTGGATGTTTTCGTGTTAAACAGGGCCCCATCTTCAAAATGGAGTTCCCTCACCATTAGTGTCTGGCACCTAATTCGTATTTTTTGTTAACAAGCCTGACTGAATGTCAAAACTAGCCCAGAGCTTGTTGAAACAGATGTCGGTGGATAACATTGATTGGGAAAGCCCATGAGTCGTTAGACTAAAACATATACATTTTATTTTCTTACAGAGAGACAAAGAGAGATGTACAGTATTCAATTATTAAACCATATAAACGCCCAACTTTATCTGTGATGAATATGATGAACGCTGCACTTCCAGTCGTTTTCATTCAGGGGCGCTGAATACTTACGCACCCCATGCATGAACGACGTCTGTCAGGGACAGAAGTTCGATAACGTTGGAATCGATCTGCTGACGGCGGTCTTCTCGCATGGCCAGCAGCTCCGTGTCGCCTTAACTCGATCCCACAATCCCAAACAGGTGAAAGTCCGCATCGAACCGAACCCCCAGCAAGGCCATCGACTTAACGAGAGAAGATTAACACGAAATGTCGTTTTCAATTAAGTCTTCCAGATGTAAAATAATATTTGTATATAACAACTTTCTCTATCTGTCTATGATGAACGCTTGACAGAGAGAGAACGACGCGATTCGGTGTTGATTCCCAGAATCCACTTGGCCCCCACCGACACGACTTTGCCATTTGTTTTGCGACGACAATTTCCCATTCTCCCCGCATACGCTATCACAATCAACAAGTCGCAGGAACAGACGTTCCATTACGTTGGTAAGCGTACAACTTTATCTATCTTTCTATAATCAATACTAGGTTGTTGGGGGGTGACGCAGGTGCCCCCCAACAACCTAGTATTAGAAATAAAGTAATAGATATTCTTGGTTCTTTCGGTAAAGTCACGTAAAAGGGAAACAATAAAATAATAAAAATATAAAACAATAAAATTCTCACAACGTTTCGACCGCAACACAAGCAATCATCATCAGGTGTGAAAACCACAACAAGAAAATTTCAAATGTATTATTTTATTGTTTCCCTTCTACGTGACTTTACCGAAAGAACCAAGAATATGAATCCTTGCAGTCACGAAAGCTTTAAATCAAAATTTCATGTAATAAATAATTTATTGCGATAGCATCTCAGAGAAGTAACACCTTCAACCGGAAATCCAAGCAAGAAATCAAGTGATGGAATCTTGACACCGACACACAGCCCGCAAATGGATACAACAGTTAATCCGCAGGTCGCATGCATTGGAGAAAAGAGTCGGCACCCCAACCTATTTCAAGACATCAGGCTGGTGTGGTAGAGTAGACCAATCACACTCCAGAGGGGCTGTCTAGAGCTCCCTCCAGTGTAGGCCCTTCATACCAGCAGAGGCGTGAGCAGGCAATTGCACGGCTGCACCTTTACCAACTTGTAACAGGCATATTATGGAGTGATACTGCATTGGCAGCGGTGTTCCAGTAAGAATAACAAAAACCTCAACGCATTCGTCAATAGCGCTGTGGCCTTAACATGAAAAATATACAATTTGGGGCAATTATCCTTCTTCATAGCACTTAAAAAAACGTGTTTTGGTTTTAGCACGGTTGGCTACGTACGGTGCGAAAGAAGTGCAACATACATACATGCAGTGGTGATTGCAGCTGAAACTGGAGAAGACGTTCCCCAGCCAGGGAAGACCACAACGCGTTACTTGCCGTTGAAACGGGTGCCATTTGACCTCAGCGATGCCACGAAAAAAACAGCCCGTCTTGGCACCACAAGATGTGTGGACATTAAACTTGTAAAGACAGCATCTACCACGAGGTAACCACGCCAACACCTGCCGCTGCATCTAAACTCCATAGTTGTCAACCCATACGGTTTACCCCGTATTCTTGTACAGGGAAATTGGGTTTTCAGGTCCGTACGGCGGACAGCCGTTTCAATACGGGCAAAAATGTTTTTATTTGTTTGTTTCTCCCTTGTGATGGGACGTTGTAGGATGAACGTTGAGATTTATAAGGGCACCACGGGGTGACCGATAAGGTGTGGATTGGTGTGTAATAAAGTAGGGCACTGATAATAGGTTGACAGGTAAACTCAGTTGTCGCCTCGTGTTCTGAGGACAGTATTTACCGCAGCTAGATCCCCGGGGGGGGGCACATAGACGGACGTCATTACTAACGAGGTTGATGGTTGCCCATTCATTACGACATAGCAACTCACTTTTACAATGAGAAGTTGGGCAAGAACAAATTGGTTTCAGAATTCATTTCCGGTTTTTTTTTCAATCCATGATACAGTAACGAAACATTCCCTTAGGCTTCTAGAGACCGAGTAAAATCAAACATGCCCGTACAAAACTTAATTTCACAGCGGATTTCGGCGCGTTTCTGCAGTGGAGTTTCCAATTGCACTTGAAGAATTCCACAAATGCAGGAAGCGGTACGATTTTTGTTTGTTTGTTATAAACTGCAATACTCCACACACAGCAAGTTTAATTACCTTAGGCTTTGCACCAGCATGATACTTCACAAATGGCTCCACTTAATGAGTTATTTAACTTGGGAGTGGCACGTGTTGTGCAAAAGTGATGCACAATCCATTGCCTCTTCAGAGGCATGGTTTGAACATTTCACTTCCACAGTACAAATTAAAGGTGGGAGGAATCCCCTTCCACTCGACGCTTATTATTCTTCATGTACTGTGTCCCTTTGTTAAGGGTCATTGCCACACACTGCAACGCTACAACGAATGTGCACGGCGTATTTATATTCGCCGAGAAAATAACTTCGCTTTGACCTTATTCTAAAAGGGGTCTAATAAAGGTCACCAAACACGGACGATTAAACTGGATTTTCCAGTTGCGTAGAGGGGAGGGATCCGCTTTAGCGCGCACTAAAGAAACACAAAAGAACTGTCAATCTCCCTCGGCCTGGGGCTCCATGCAAGATCTCACCTCGTGGAGTTGTAATGATCACGAGAAGGGTGAGGAATCAGCCCAGAACTACACGGGAGGATCTTGTCAATGATCTCAAGGCAGCTGGGACCAAAGTCACCAAGAAAACAATTGATAACACACTACGCCGTGAAGGACTGAAATCCTGCAGCGCCCGCAAGGTCCCCCTGCTCAAGAAAGCACATATACATGCCCGTCTGAAGTTTGCCAATGAACATCTGATTGATTCAGAGAACAACTGGGTGAAAGTGTTGTGGGTCAGATGAAGCCAAAATGGAGCTCTTTGGCATCTACTAAACTCGCCGTGTTTGGAGGAGGAGGAATGCTGCCTATGACCCCAAGAACACCGTCCCCACCGTCAAACATGGAGGTGGAAACATTATGCTTTGGGGGTGTTTTTCTGCTAAGGGGACAGGACAACTTCACCGCATCAAAGGGATTATGGACAGGGCCGTGTACCATCAAATCTTGGGTGAGAACCTCCTTCCCTCAGCCAGGGCATTGAAAATGGGTTGTGGATGGGTATTCCAGCATGACAATGACCCAAAACACACGGCAAAGGCAACAAAGGAGTGGCTCAAGAAGCACATTAAGGTCCTGGAGTGGCCTAGCCAGTCTCCAGACCTTAATCCCATAGAAAATCTGTGGAGGGAGCTGAAGGTTCGAGTTGCCAAACGTCAGCCTCGAAACCTTAATGACTTGGAGAAGATCTGCAAAGAGGAGTGGGACAAAATCCCTCCTGAGATGTGTGCAAACCTGGTGGCCAACTACAAGACACATCAACAAGGGTTTTGTCACCAAGTACTAAGTCATATTTTGCAGAGGGGTCAAATACTTATTTCTCTCATTAAAATGCAAATCAATTTATAACATTTTTGACATGCGTTTTTCTGGATTTTTTTTGTTGTTATTCTGTCTCTCACTGTTCAAATAAACCTACCATTAAAATTATAGACTGATCATTTCTTTTTCAGCAGGCAAACGTACAAAATCAGCAGGTGTTTTCCTGTTGCCTATATATGCGTGTGCATAACGCACTCAAATACGCACTCACTTTAAATCATATACAAAATGTCTTCTCACTGCAGGGCATCTTCCTTTTATGCATTTTATACCATTTTCACCAGTTCTCCCTTTGTAAATGAGATCTCTTTCCTCTTGTTTTCTGGTTAACTTCCCTAAAAAAGTAGAATTTCTGCATAACCAGCGTAAATTGTGTGGGGGGGGGGGGGTGTTCTCTCTGAACTGACTTCCTGAATAACTCACCAAATCCCTTTGTGAGATGACACACATTGAATAATGTAGACAAATGACAAAACTTTCACTATTAAACGTCATCAGAACCATGGTCAATCCACTGCTGGATAAAGGGCTCTCCAAACCGCACACAATCTGATTTCAGCACTCCATCCCCAAATGCGATCCTGGGCACATTCCCTCCATTGCCCATCACATCATCACCACTGGCCGGCCCGATGATGATGATGTGACGGCGACGGTGATGATGATGATGTGACGGCGATGATGATGATGTGACGGCGATGGTGATGATGATGAAGTGACGGCGATGATGATGATGTGACGGCGACGATGATGATAATGATGTGACGGCGACGATGATGATGTGACGGCGATGATAATGATGTGACGGCGATGATGCTAAAGCGCAGCCAGCCGAACAAAAAAAACATTTCCATTTAAAAATAAAACATGCTTCAAATCGCTTTAAACTATTGTCATTGTAGTGCGTATTTAATGTGGCGCTGCACTCTGATGTTGTAGGATAAGACGTTTATTAAAAAGTCTATTTAATTAAGTAGAACGTGTTGTCTGTATTTATTTAAAGTTGCGCATTTTGATGTGACGTCACATTTCTCAGAAACACCCCCGCCCTCGTCACGCATCGTCACAAATGTCTGACCCCTCCCCCCCCCTAGGTGCGTGACGTCATTTATGGACGGCCCCTTAAAATACAATTTTAAAAAAATAACTAAGACGTTTCGATCACAACGCAAACGATTGTTATTTCCCTTGAACCTCCCATCTACGTGACTTTACCGAAGGACCCAAAGCACGTGAATTCCTGCAGTCGCGAAAGCTCTAAGTCAGGAGCTGCAGCTTCTCAAAGTTCGATTTTGGCCTCCGCTTTGCACGCGCTCTCGGCGTCTTTCCGAGCGCTTTTGGAGTCGAGCACCCCACATTGTGTACCCTCCACCGCACGGCTACCTGCCGAATTCGCTTGCGATTTGCTTTGTGCCACCATGCGGCAGAGCGGGTAGCGGCAGCTTGGGGAACTTCATAAAAGTTTGAAATTGTTTCAAATGCCGCGCCCGGAGATCGAACCTGGCTTGCGACGTGTCCCGGAAGTGCGTGCTAAACCACCATCCAGAAACATGATTCCTGTACGTACGCATCAATATGCACATGGGGATCGTATTTCCTTCATTACAGTGAAAAAAAAAACAAATCTCTTTAGTTTTTTTTAAATAACACATTAACTTAAAACATAACCCGTTAATTTCACTTTGTCAGAAAGCTTATGCTGTAGACCTTACAGCAGATAGCAACGTTCACTTCGACAGTCGCTCTCGAGAGGCAAACGTCGTGACACCACAACATGGGAAATGGTTCCACCACCCCCCTCCCCAATGCTTCAAGTCAAAAACTCATCAACGACACGAACCTACAGGCGAGAGCCCGAAACCACCCCTTCACGCCCTTCTTCACGCCGGCGAGAGACTTGTCCTGTACTCACCAACGAGACCCAGGACGCAAACGGACAGAGGCAGCAGGAGCTGCTGCTGCGCGTTCCGAAACATCGTCGGTGGCGTTTTCGCGTTGGCCGTGTGCCGCTCCTCAGGAACCTGAACGCCAAACGCAGCTGCAGAAGACAAACCCGCTGTGGGACAGAATTGTATGTGTGTGTGTGAGGCGTGCCCTGGCACTACTCCTCCTCCACCTCCTCCTCTCTCTCGACTCGTTCTGCGTGTGTGTCGTAGGGTTGGGTTGTTTCCCGGAGTCGGTCGACGTGAATGCCAAGAAATGACTGGTTTCTCATCATCACCCCCACTGGATTCATTGATTGGTTCAATGAATCCAGTGATGATGATGATGCTTTCTGCGTTGGTGGTGGACAGAGGTGGTGGTGCACATGTGCGCCATGAACAACGCAAATTAAAACTGAACGCATGCGTCATTTACACTTTGGCCTTGAAAGAATGAATATATATCCTGCATATTTGTTCTGTACGGTACAGCTAAGCACGAACTAGTGGTGTGGTTTAAGTATGTCTTGAGAATTCCCTTGCTGCTGCAATGCCAACAGTATATGTTTATTTAAACAAACTGGTGTGTGTATTCGTCACGATATTATTAAGCGTCAACTCCATGAACCTCTACCGTGAAGTTTCTTCCAATGGTTTTTATACATCGCCATATATTTAATGTTTCTATAACTTTATTGTAATTAATTATGTGATTACTATCAACAATCTGCCCGAGCCAACTTACGCTACAGTGGATGTATTATATTTTAAATATATTTATGTTGTGCAGTTTTTTTTGACAGTTATTTTTGTCACGATTTATGTTTGATCTTGATTTGAAGCTTTTGTGACTGCAGGAATCCATTCTGTTTGGTTCTTTCGGTAAAGTCACGTTCCACCCGTAGACGAACGCTTGTGTTGCGCCCGAAACATCGTAATTTATTTTATTTTATACCCACGTGATTTATGTTTGCTTCACCACTGTACTTTTGTTCCTGACGATGTGATGACCCGGCTCACTTGCAAATGAGACTTATCCTGATGTCTTGAGTTAAATACAACATAAACTTATAACAATAAAAGTATGTTGTCACATGCATAAATATTGTATCAGTGCCACCACCATCGTCATCACACATTACGGCTGATGTACCGTATTCTTATCCAATACAATCTTACAATGATTTGCCAGTGTGTTGCAGTGCATTCATGTTTTTTCTGCAAATGTGATTCGTTATCCAGCAAGGCGGGGAGCTTGAGATGATACGCACCCATTTTGCTTGGGTGTGGTGAAGCAATACATGATGGCACGTTGAAGTGGGAAACATGTTCCAGCTAAAGTACAAATAAAATCAATTCTGTTTGGGGCTCATACCCCAGCCGACCAGCCAGAGACAACGTGCACAAGAAGGAGAGCTGTTTATTTCCACAGCAAAACTTTTTGACAGCGGCATTGTATGACATTCCACGATGAATTCGTGTTGCGTACACCAGAAGTATTTCCCCCCATCCTTAATCGGACAAATACACCAGAACTATGTGCTGAATGTTAATTACATGGTACTAATTTGAGATCTGGGTCCTAAATCAAAACTCTGTTGAACTGCAGCTGCGGATATGAATGAGCATGAGACAAAGGTGATTGTGTGGCTCATACCAGAGCGCTCAGGCACCAGGGCGGCTGAGTACAGTGCTCCTGCATTCAAGTAAAGGGCAATGACACGTCATTGAACCAGGATTTTCAAGTGGAGTGAGGGTCTCAGTCTGTTTTACCAAAAAACGACCGGAAACGCAACATTTTCTTTGGTTCTTTCGGTAAAGTCACGTAGAATGAGAATAAAATAATAAATTGATAAAATAAAATAACACAATAATATTCTCACGACGTTTCGGCCACAACACAAGCGGCCTTCATCAGATAGTCTCGTCCCTTCACTTGATGAAGGCCGCTTGTGTTGTGGCCGAAACGTCGTGAGAATATGATTGTGTTATTTTATTTTATCAATTTATTATTTTAGTCTCATTCTACGTGACTTTACCGAAAGAACCAAAGAAGATGAATCATTGCAGTCACGAAAGCTTTAAATCGAAACGTAACATTTGTTTTGTAAATTCAACTGGCCAATTATGGTTCCGAGGGTTTAAAAAAATGTGTAATCGCCATGTGATAAACGCTTATTTTATTGCAGACCACGTGAGATATGTACCAGAGGTGTGAATATAAGAACTAACATAACCCACAAGTGACTCTTACCTCCTCGAGAGGCTGTTCTGTAATGTACCGTCATGCACTGTTCACTATGCGATTTGACACTTGACAGAGATTTCAAAATTGGAATATATTTGAGAAAGTGCATTGGATGTCAAAAGAAAAACTGAGTTATGGCATGCTCATTATAGTGGGGCAATCCCCATGATTCCCAGCATGGAATGACTATTCCATTCTTAGAATCAAATACAAAATAAGGGCTTTTTTTTATATACCTTACGGAAACGTGTTGGTTTTCCTAGCACACTGAGCTCAAAAAGATGACGTCCTGGGAAAACCAGGAAAGGTGGCAACCACAACCAGGCCTAGCTCGCCCTCTCATCTTGCCGGATTGCCAGCTCTGAATCAGGGTGGCATTTGATGATTACGGCCATCTAGAATCAGCCTGAATTGCCCCTCTGCATTGCCTGGAATTGGCGATGCTAAGCTAAACATTTCCGCAGTTTGGTCGATGCGTATCGGCGCGAAGGGTCGAAGTATCATCACAACCGAATCATCCCATTCTAGTGCACAAATCTTCCATGGCTGAATCCGTGTTAGAATCCCACTCGCCAACTTGCAAGGAAATTTTAACTAAAGGGCTCACCCACGGAAACATCGCGACTCCTGCAGAATGAAATCGCTCAGCTCTTTAGAAGTAGTAATTTCCCCATTAAGAATACACCAATTGTGACAGTGTGTATAAACGTCGGCGTGCTGGACTGCATGCCTCTTGAGTTTGGGGTAAAGTGTAAAAAGCGGTAGCTTGTGTTAAAGCATCCTTTTGTATCGTTGTGTTTTTTACAGCGTGCGTATTATCACAGTACCACAACTCGAGTTAAGGTGGGTTAGTTTGCACAGGTGATGGTAAAACCCCCGTTTTAGAAATGTATCTACGTAATACTTTCCACGTGGCGTCGTGGTGTACTATTTAGGCAACACTGTGCTGGTAATCCAGAGGACGTGGGCTCGCTCTCCGGGAGCGCCAGTCGAAACGATGGCGCGCGTTTCTTGAATTCCTCCCCCTCCGCACTCCGCCTCCGTCGACCTCGGCAGTTGTAATGGGTTCACCGTGCTTCAGGTTCATGGGCAGATCAGGCGCGGTGGTGGTGGGGGGGATAAAGAGTGGGGCTCTCCCACCTTTTCCAAGACGTTGAGCCAGCGTGGAAGAGTAGGCCAAATTACTCTCCTTATTGACTGCCCTACACCAGAGACAGCCTTCCGTTTCAAAGACAATGCGTATACGTAAGTATGAGAAGGCCTGTTTGTTTGCATGTTTTGCCGTCAGCACGTGTGGCTCATGCAGACTTGATGCCTTGTAAAAATGTATCTATTTGGCGTTTGGACACCTTAACGCCTCCTGTTTTATTGCCAGATAAAGGAAAACCTCTTCTTATTTTTTTCCCCCATCCTTTTTGATACTGACAAAAAAGGTCCCATAGATTGAGCTCCCCTTCGTGGATGATTCTCCGCCAGCAGTGGCACGAGCAAGTAATTGCAGGGCTGCACCTTTACGGCAGAACCTTCATCTTTTGCTTAACGCATACAGCGTATCTTCTCTCTCTATATATAATGCACTATTGAAGCTGCAATATTAAGGGTGGTTTTACAGTGTGTACAATCACCAAGTATTGATACTTCAGAACGGGTGTGCCCTTGGCTAGAGGGCCTTTGCCGTGAGTTACTATGGGCCCCGAGCACCTTTCTGAGTAATATTTTTTTTTAAAGACGTGAGCTATGCACGTGATGGGAACAGCACCATGATCAACGTCCCAGCATCGATCGAACATCGCCTCCGATTCTTCAAATATGTGCGCGTTATATATTGTTTTACTTTAGTAGTAATGTATTTCTAAATATATGTTTTCATCAGAGAATGTTATTTGTTTTATGTCTGCCAAAGTTAATGCGTTGATACCGATCCAGTACTGGATTAGTGAGATCATTAGCGCAGAATTAAATCCCTATTAAACAATCTACAATTACAACAATTACAATTTGGATGTATATTGTGTCTACATGCAATCACATATCGAGACATTGCACACAACAGTGGGACGTTCGTATCGTATTGGGGGAGCGAAATTAGCCATCTACTTATTTTAAGAAGAAAGTCAAATTTGCTATTTTGGTATTGTTGCCACGTATTTTCTGCACCCGTTTTTTGCTCGTGTGCATCGTGTTAAAAACTATATATATACCAACTGGACCCAAACCGTGGCAAGTTTATTTTTACACTTTTTATTTCCCAGCCGAAGTTTTCCGAAGAGTGCTCGATCCACCTTGCAGTGTAGTTGGTGCCCCATTCTGCACAACACCTCGCTGACACAAAGATCCCCCGTATATAGCCTTAACAGACTGTTGGGGCAAGAGCAATGAAGAAGACACACGCAACACACAACACACACGTCAATGTGCGTTGTGTGGCAGTTCGCGTGCTTCGCTTCGAACCTGGCTAACCGAGTTCGAATCCCGCTCAAGGTCAACACGAGTGACGAATATCACCGAACGCATTGATCGACTCAGCCTCAAGGCGGCCAGGCGTGATTCTGGCACGCATCCACCCCTTCGTGTGCCGCGTCTGTCCTCATAGGTGCACGCTTACGGCACTTGCCTCAACAGGCCATTCAAGGCGATACTGGGGGGGGGGGGGGGGGGGGGGGGGGTGTCTGGGTAATTTGTTATTGTTACTTCGCCCTCTGTCGATGTGTGGAACGTAGTGCAATACCAGAGAGAGCTTTGTGCTACTGACGATAATGACGGCGTTAAAGAGTACGGCATCATGATGTCATTCGTAACTATAATCACCTTCCTGATGGTAATCACCATAATGGTGGCAATCCATCAATGTCATAATCATAATCTTGTTTTGTCTTCTTCATCATTGCTGGCACCGTGATTTGTATGTGTGCCTCGTAAAGGTTTGAGAGCAGCTATTTCTTGCTCCAAATTTTACAAACAAATGCGTGGAAAACGCGTGAACTTGTGTGGAATGGGCCACCACCATGCCCTGTTTCCAGTGCT